GGGACTATGTCTCCAAGGGTGGGGCTAGAACCTAGGGACATCCTTGAGGCAAATGTGCATTCTTCTCTTTATACTCAGCAATTGTATATCTGGTTATATGGTGGGGATCTCAACCATTTCCAATTAATACATTTTATTGGCCCCACCCCATAGCCCGGGGGGTCAACCCCACCATTTGTACAATTTTGAATCCCTGCCTCCCATGAATACTTCCGACCAAATATGATCAATATCCATGGCATAGTTCTGCAGAAGAAGTCATTTATAGCAAATTGCCCCCTTTTGGCCCAGCCCCTCAGCTCCCTGGAGGGTCAGCCCAACCGTTTGTACAATTTTGAATCTCCACCACCTAGACATGCTTCCAGTCAAATAAGGTTGATATCAATCACTAAGTTCCAAAGAAGAAGTCACTTAAAGCAGTATAGCCAAATATCCTTCTTGCCCTGCCCCTTGGCCCCTGGGGGGTCAGCCACACCGTTTGTACAATTTTAAATTCCTGCCTCTGAGGAATGCTTTTGATCAAATATGATTGATATCCAGTGCACAGTTCTACAGAAGAAGTCGTTTGTAGCAATATAGCCAAATTGCCGCCTTTTGGCCCCGCCCCTAAGCCCCCGGGGAGACAGCCCCACCAGTTGTACTATTTAAAATCACAACCACCTAGGGATGCTTCCAGTCAAACATGGTTGATATCCACTTCTCAGTTCCAGAGAAGAAGTCGCTTAAAGCAATATGGGCAAATTTACCTCTTTTGGCCCCGCCCCTCAGCCCCCTGGGGAGTCAGCCCCACCATTTGTAAAATTTTGAATCCCAACCACCTAGGGATGCTTCCACTTAAATTTAGTTTAATTCCAACCAGTGGTTAAGAAGAAGTCGTTGTTTAAAGAAATTGTTGACGGACAGACGCACGCCACGGTATGGCATAAGCTCACCTTGGTCCTTCGGTTAACAGGTAATTATCTTTAGAAAAAAAATCCAGAAAACCAGTTAACTGGTTGGGGGCTAGCTTCCCTTACAGGGGAAAGGGGGCCTAGGGCTCACTCCCTTGGACCACTCCCCTACAGTCTGTGGTTTTCTGCCCGAGGCATAGCCCCTCCGCGACGAGTCCCCGAGCTGACAAGTGTGCAAGGGGCATCGACGTTCTCCGGCGAGCCGAACAGGAACAAAGGGAGCAGGTACATGACCTGTGATCTATGCCCGGATGTTGACCGCCACCCTAGGCGTCACCTCAATTTGTTGGTGAACGTGGAGGGCGGATGCCTAGTTTGTGGTGCAACTAGTAAACCAGGTATATCTCCGTTCTCATTGCTTGATTATATGCTGAAGTTTCTGAAATGCTTCTATAACTGAAATTCATCCTTAAGTTAAAAATTGTATGACATAATACAGGGACCTTTTGAAGCTTTTTAGAGTTTGAATACTTTTATAAGTAATATATGTATATCTGCTTTTATTTCTCCGTGAACCTTTATATTGACTTGGAAACTCCCTTTTACTGAAGATGCAGTGACACCCCGAACATGAGGGCAGCCCCGGGGATGACTGGGACCAATGGGTTATGGGCCTGGTACGCATGCTCTGCGCGCGGACCCATGATAGCGGGGTCCTGGATGTCACTGGAGGTATTTTCAAACGAAAAATCACTTATAATTGAAATACATACAAAACTTTAGTAGATATGTGAAAATTACTGTAAAAAATATTGTCAATTATCGAAATATTAGCAATGTACTAAGACCATTGTGTAGGTAACTTGGATACAAGGACATAAGCGAGAATGGTGCAGCAAAAAAAAATGAAATGGGGAAATATTAAAAAAGAAAGTTTACTTGAGAGTAGTTTGGAAAGACAAGAGGCCCAATGGGCCTGCATCGCTCACCTGTTATTAATTACACTTGTAATCTTAAGATTTCATAAGAACCTATTAAAAGATTTAAACATATGACGCCTTTGACCTTGATTGTTGAACAAGGACATTAGGTTGAAAGTGAATCAAGGTCATTCATTTGAACTAACATGGTAGTCCTTCATCCCAGCATGCTACAGGCCCAATTTCAGTACCCTGGCCCTTTTGCTTATTGAAAAGAAGTCGCTTGAAGATTTTAC